GGGAGCCAGGACACCTGGGTTCTGCTGGGAGGGGAGTGGGGTCCGGGTGCAGGGGGCTGGGAGCCAGGACACCTGGGTTCTCTACCCTGTAGTTACTCTTCTCTCTCTGTATCCCCAGCCCTCCCCACCCTGGTGCTTGTTCCCCAGCACACCGTGCCCAAGAAAGCCGAGGCGGAGATCGATGCGCTCTACGATGTCTTCCTGGATGTCCAGGCCCGCTGGGGGACAGAGGTGAGGAGGGGGCCGGCCAGGGGCACTGACAATACTGTGAGAATGGAACCCAGGAGTCCTGGGGCTTCTAGACCCCCCTCCCAATAGAACCCAGGTGTCTTGATGCTTTCTCCCCCTCCCCCCAGGACATCATGTTCCTGGGGGACTTTAACGCCGACTGCGGTTACGTGGCCAAGAAGCGCTGGGGCCAGATCCGACTGCGGCGCGAGCCTGGCTTCCGCTGGCTAATCGGAGACGCTGCCGACACCACTGTGCGGAACAGCACACGCTGCGCCTACGACAGGTGGGACCCGGGATGGCGGGGGGTGCTCTAGAGAGGCCGGGATCTGTAACCCCCTTCCCTCCTCCCCCTGCAGGATCGTGGTGCATGGGGAGCGCTGCCTGGTGCTGGTGGTGCCCGGCTCAGCCCAGCCCTTCGACTTTCCTGGCACGTTCGGGCTCACGGAGACCCAGGTAATGCCCGCAGCTCCCTGTCCATGCAGGGACCCTGCCCTGGCGTGAGAGACGCCCACTCACCCGACGCTGGCAGTGCAGGTCGGGGGGGTCTCTGTGCTGTGCGGGGGGCAGACGGGATGAGCCCCCAGGCTGAGCTGGCAGGTGAATGAGGCTCAGTCTGTGACCCGGCCCCCCCAGGCCAGCCGTCTGGAGGGGAACCGCGGGCGGGGCGGGGCAGCGGCCTGGGAATGCCAGCAGCACGGGACAGAGCCGGGGATCTCTAGCAAACCCTGCAGACCCCCTCCACCCCCTGACCCCTGTCTCCTTGTCCCCTGCCCCAGGCGCTGGAGGTCAGTGACCATTACCCGGTGGAAGTGCAACTGGAACTGAACGCCGCCCCGAGGGGGCGCTGGCCGGCCGGCCCAGCACTGCTGCCCCTGGCCATGCTGCTGGCCGGACTGGGGGGCTGGTTCTGACCTTCCTGCTCAGCGCTGCCGGGCGCCCGGACCTCGGGGAACACGTGACCGAGGGGCTGGAGTCTAAACCCACCCGCAGGAGCAAAGGCCTTTACTCAGATGCCTGGGTTCCCCCCCCACACACACACAGGTTTCTTGGCTCAGGGCTCCTCCCCCAGAAGATACAGAAACCTCTCATCTCAGACCCGACAAACTCACTGCAGCAAATACAGGGCTGGCAGCGTTCCCAGGTCCAAGGCCAGAGGAGGTTACAGGACCATCCCTCCAGGTCCTGGGCCTGGCTGCCTGGAGTGTTCGGCTGGAGGGGGCTGGCCCCTGGGCGGGGGGCAGGGGAGGCTGGTTCAAATCCTGCCAGAGGGGGTGGGTTGTTTCTTTTTCAGTGACAGAGCAACTAAACCCCTGCATAAGAACAACGCAGAGTCCGGCGGCACCTTAAAGACTAACAGATTTATTTGGGCATAAGCTTTCGTGGGTAAAAACCCACTTCTTCAGATGCATCGTTGTTTTTGTGGATACAGACTGACA